CGTGCCGCCTCCGCCTATGATGTTAAGGACATGATCGACCACGCTGCGCCCACCACGGGTGCCCTGGATGCGCCCTCCTTCACCTGCTCTCCCATGGACGCAGCCATCGGCTGGGCCTCCTCAGTCAACGTTGTGGCCACCCCAACACCACTCACGCTCACCACCGGCGCGGCGCCAGCCGGCTCTTGGTGCATTTGCCGGAGGAGGATCTTTTTCGGAGTGAGCCACATGAGAGTCCCACGTCCTCCGATGCTGCAAGGGACATGGCGGTCAGTTCACGACAAAAATTCGTTAAGACAAAAGGATAAAAAAACTCTTGACTCACCCTGACGCCATCATGCGAGGACGTTTTGGGGCTGACTTGCTTGACCCCAGCTGCTCCTCGTTGACATGTTGCCGCTTTGAGCCCATCCTTAGCTCGGAGGGCTTGGATGAATTAGAATAGTCGCCTCTCACCGACTCCGGAGGCACCCCGAGGGCTCAGACGGAGCGGGGTGACCTATTTTTGCTGGCTTCGGGGCCACCATAGACGGCCCGAACAGAGCAGGATGGTCTAATTTTGCCGGCTCTGGGGCCACCGTCGAAGGCCAGACAAGGCGAGGCGGCTTGACTGTGCCGGTTTTGAGGCCACCGTCGAAGGTCCGGATAGGGCGGGCGGTTTGATTCCATCGGCTCTAGGGGTGCGTCCTCCCCCTCCTGCCCCATGGCATGCCGCAGGAAGGGCCCCGCCTACGGCGAAGGTGGGTCCTCATCCCCAGCGGCTAGATTATCCCACGGGATGGGTGACCTAGAGCCATCATCCTCCTCCTCCTCCTCTTCTTCTTTCTCCTCATCTCCCGACGAACCTTGATGCCGCTTCCCTGGCTACAGCTTCGCTCGCTGCTTCAACCACCGTTTTCTCTCCTTGTTGTCCTTCTTCTTCTTTCTTTGCTCATCCATGGCATGGTTCTCCACCCTCACAGCCGCGTGCTCTAGCAGCGGCGTGATAGAGTCCCAAAGACTAACCCGCTGGCACCTCGATGAAGCCCACATCCGGCCGCATCACGAGGTGCCCTAGGATCGGGAACATGGCATGGGCCTCCCCTATGGCCTCCTTGATGCGCTGTGTGACCTCGCTATCATGGAGCAGCCCCTGGGCAAGCATCATCTCGATGAGCTGAGCGTCGGGCGTCATCTAGTACAGTGGGAGGACGCGCACCATCAGTGACGCCACCCTCCTCGTGTGATACCCCCCGATGACACCGGCCCCACGGAAGCCATGGGTCTTCAGGAACGCGATGGCCTCGAGGAGGTCATGCATCCTCTTCTTCTCCTTGATGGGTGGCCCCCATAGCCATGATGGTGATACCTCTTCGACCAAGCGCTCGAAGAAGACTGGCGAGGGAGCGGCAGGGTCGTTCTTTAGGTAGAACCAATGCGAGTGCCACCCCTTGTTAGATCTAGAGAGCTGGCAGGGCATGTACTCGGTCGCCCACTACCCCCGGAGGTGGATGTCCGCGCATCCTATCGGCACTGGGGTCTCTCGACCTCTCTCCTTCTTCTTGATCAAGGAGATGGAGAAGAAATATCTCCATAGCTCGAAGTGGGGCTCGATCCCAGGTACCCCTCGCACATCGTGATGAAGGCCGCGATGTGCTGGATCCCATTGGGGTTCAAGTGTTGTAGCTCAATCTGATAGTGGTGCAGCAGACCCTGGAAGAACGGGTGGGGAGGAACCACGAGTCCACGCTCGTGGAAGGGAACAAAGGAGACAACATAGCCGTCGGGCGGCGCCGGCACATCCTCATTGCTGGGCATAAGCCACTCCGCCTCATCGGTCCTCCCACGGAGAAGACCACACTTGACGAGGCCCTCCATGTGTGCATGGGTAACATCAGAGCAGTACCACGAATCCATGGAGGATGCAGGCGTATGCAGAGAAGCAAAGGCGACGGCGGAGAAGTGGAAGCTACAGATCTAGGGCTCCGGCGGTGGATTAGCAAGCACGGCAGATCCGAACGGCGGTGGTGGAGAAACAAAGAATGTAAGGCTATGGTTTTGGTGTGTAGAAACATGAAGGGGGAGGCCGCTATTTATAGGACGGAGCAAGGAGAGAAGGCAAACCGTCTGCCTAGGTTCACATGCCTGCTGCGCCGCGTCACGTCACCTCCCTCCGAAGATCATGCATACACTATCTCTGGCTACGCCCTCGAAGGACATGCCAGATAACGGTTCGCCTGGTCGATGGGCCAAGAACCATCATAGATAAGGAGGGATACAGAGCTAAAAATGCTCCTACGGCCCATTCAGGACCAGGAGTTCGAAGGGTGGCCCGCCGATGGGTTCACAGCTGCTCCGGGACACCCTTAGAGTGAGGGATGGAAAGGGATGTGCCCACTAGCAGCCAGTACTCGGGTGCACGAGCGTCGTGGGCATGCCGGCCCACGTTTGAGTCCTGGTCGGTTTCCAGTCCATGGTTTTTCCTCGAAGAAGGGCAACGAGCCCTTGGGATCGGCTGAACAGACCCAAGAATTATATGGATTGGCCGCCAAGAGTCTAGAGTCGGTCACCAGCTGACCAATGCTGGACCCCCATGAACAGGAAGCCAGGACCCCACTTGGACTAGCCCGTTAACAGCCCACCGAGCACCATGTTTTGTCCATCGAGGAAAAATGTGGCACGGCTCAGCCCCTCCATTTTATTGAAAAAATGCTTCATAGGTGACGATCACAAAGACGTGCCGACCCTCGATCGGACTCCTGCTACGCGCAGGGGCTCGAGGGAAGTTGGACTCACAAGGAGACCGAACACGCGATCACAGTACGACGACGGACCGATCGGATCCTAGGTGACCGGAATCAAGAAAAATCTTTCTGACTTCCCGAATCTTATGGTTACATGCCCCCAAGAAGACCGATCATGACAAAATAGAATCACCGTCCTACCAGGACACACCGTGAGCTACAAAAAGAAGGCAAAGGCCCTCGGAGTCCTCCTGCCTGGAAAAGCCTTTGAAGGAATATTCTACTCCTCCGCAGGCTCGGGTGCTACTGTCGGGTATCGATATTAGGGATACCCAAAGCAAGAAAGTTAACCCCCATGCTGATTTCTCTGGATGGCTCAAGACGTATTAAAAGGTCTCACCTGAACCCAAGGTTGTGGGCTCCATCTTGCCGGACCACAAGGCCGCGGGCTCCATCTCGCCCGACCTCAAGGACGCGGGTTCCGTCTCTCCCAAGGCCGCGGGCTTCGTCTCGCCCGACCTCGAGGCCACGGGCTCTGTCTTGCCCAACCTTGAGGCCGCGGGCTCTGTCTCGCCCGACCCCTTGGGTACGGGCTCCGTCTTGCCCGACCCCTTGGGTGCGAGCTCCGTCTCGCATGACCCCTTGGGTGCGGGCTCCATCTCGCCCGACCGCAAGGACGCGGTTTCTGTCTCGCCCAAGGTCATAGGCTCCGTCTCGCCCGACCACGAGGACGTAGGTTCCGTTTCATTCGACGGGGACCCATACCACCGCCAACCACTCTAGGTCCAAGCGTATGGGCCTGGGTCAAAACTCTGACGCCAGGGAAAAGGTTGCACGTCTCAATGTAACCCGTGGCCATGACGGGCCATACCTAGGGAGTCACATCAAGAACAGTGTTGGGCATGCTGGTGTTGTTCTGTCTAATCCTCGTACGGACGCTGACAGGCGCGTCAGTTCACCATGACGTCCGCCGGGACGGAGTGAAACGCCATGACTGGCAGATGACGCCTGTGCATGGCGCCAGTGACGAACAGGGCCACGACATGGAGCCATCCTTGTTGACATCTACAGGATCGGCGGGACCTGCATGAAGGAGAAGAAGGACCCGACAACCCTGGAAGTCTTCTTCTCTCTCTCGTTCTTCTCCTTTTCCTCCTCTGTAACACGCGCTTTCCCTTCGCCTATAAAAGGTAAGCAAGGCGCCCCATGAAAGGGGATCTGGACACAAGAGCACGACACGAGGACACGACTGAGCGGCAAGCGAGCTCTCAACACCCGTTCACTCCTTACACCAGAGACGTGGGATCCTCTCCCTCTCTCGCTGTTTGTAACCCCTACTGCAAACCAAGTGTCAAGTGTCGGTAACACGAACAGCAGCGAACTGGACGTAGGGATGTTCCGCTGAACCAGTATAAACCCTTGTGTCATCCGAGCACACCATCCAAGCTAGACAAGTAAATACAAATTTACTTGTCGGTGGTCCGAAAACACCGACAAGGAGTGATTTTAAAAAAAATCAAGATTCTCTTACACATAGCCACTTCTTAGTTCTTATATTACACATACCCTTAAGTGCGGATCTAGCATCAGGGCGGCATGGGCTCAAGCCTCTGCCACACTACTCGAAGCACGGATTACCTACAAACTTGTACCTGTGAAAATTTGAAAAGAGAGGTCAGTGAGATGGAAGATAAAAAGAAGCCCTCCTAACTTGTTTTCATATATCCACTACTGCATACCCTACCCCAGGGTAAGAAATAATGATTTCAGCTTATATTACAAAGATCGTTTAAGGTCACTGTGCTGCTCTGCCAGCCCAGCTGACTGTGACTGGGCTGGTGAGTCTGGCGCCCGTGCGGGCTTGCTGATGAATTATTTGACGGCCCGGCAGGCGTTTATGACGGGCTTGCATGGACGATCCCCGAAGCCGAGCCCACACGGCATCAGACCCGTATCCACCTTGGGCCGGCCCACCTGTGTCCTTTCCCCTTCCGCAAGCGAAAGCCCCCAAACAAATCCTCCGCACGCCTCCGCAGCCGATGCCGACGCCGACTACCGCAACTCCGACGGATCCGTCACGCCTGACGTCCTCGCCAATGGCCGCGAGGCCTGCTACAAGGTACAGCCCTCAGCCACGTCCCTGCGTTCCTCCGCCCCCTAAGCCCTCTCCTCCCCCTCTGGCTTTCCGCTACTGACGGGCCTTCTCCGCAGGCACGGGATGCCTTCTACGCGTGCGTAGAGAAGCACGCGGACAAGAAGCCCACCGAGATCGCCACCATGGGGCTCCTCTACCCCGCCGACTGCAAGAAGTCCCGCGACAACTTCGTCAGCAACTGCCGCCCCACCTGGGTAAGCGCCCTCTGGTCCACTTCGCCGCCGTCGACGCTTAGCCCTGCATGATTCTGCGGGTTTACGCAACTGGTTGAATTGGTGAATCCGCAGGTGAAGCACTTCGACCGGCAGTACTGCGCCAAGAAGCGGGTGCAGAGGCTGCTCGACGGCGATGAGGACCGCCGGGGCCCCATCTCGCTACCCCAGCCCTACACCTTCAAGCAATAGGTAGCCTTCCTGTGGTTCAGATCTTGGTATTGGGCTCAATTGGATCAGTACTACGTTGGTATCTAGATGCTATAGTATTGGTTTCAGGCTTGGTATCATTTAGATGGATGCATATGTGATGCGTAGCAGTACATTGCTCTGAATGCTAATGGATGAGCGAATCTGTATGTGAATTTCTCAATATCAGGATATCCCTCCTTGGCAATTGAGTTGCATTGCTTTTCTTCTGATGGCACACGGGTTGCCAGAATCCTTATTGAAACCTTTTGTTCTTTGTGCCTTGTTTCAACTTTCAATTGTTCAGTGCAGGGGTAGAAGGATATTGTTGGGTTAATGGTTTTTTTAACCGTGTTGCTGGAATGCAGCCAACCAACAACAACAACAACAATTCAGTTCCAAGCAAATTGGGGTAAGCTAGAGTTGAAACCCACAAAGAGCTCCAAGTCACGGTTCAGGCACTTCAATAGCTGCTTTCCAAGTACTCCTATTCAAACATAGATCTCTAGGTATATTCTAAGCTTTTAAATATCTTTTTATTGCCTCCCCCATGTCAAATTCGGACTTCCTCTACCTTTCCTCATATTATTAGCTTGGCTTAGGACTCCACAATGCACTAGTATCTCTGGAGGTGTTCTTTGGACATGGCCAAACCATCTCAACCGATGTTGGACAAGCTTTTCTTCAATTGGTGCTACCTATAGGCGATCACGTATATCATCGTTTCGAACTCGGTCCATTCTTGTGTGACCGCAAATCCATCGCAACATACGCATTTCTGCAACACTCAGTTGTTGAACATGTGGAATCTTTGTAGGTCAACATTCTGCTCCATACAACATAGCCGGTCTAATCGTCGTTCTATAGAACTTACCTTTTAGCTTTTGTGGTACCCTCTTGTCACAAAGAATGCCAGAAGCTTGTCGCCACTTGATCCACCCTGCTTTGATTTTATGTCTAACGTCTGCATCAATATCTCTTTCCCTCTATAACATTGATCTCAGATACTGAAAGGTATCCTTCTTAGGCACTACTTGACCTTCCAAACTCACATCTCCCTCCTCCTATACAACTCCGCCAAAGTCGCATCTCATGTATTCGGTTTTAGTTCTGTTCAATCTAAAACCTTTAGACTTAAGGGTCTGCCGTCATAACTCTAGTTTCATATTTACTCCCGTCTGGCTTTTGTCCACTAACACTACATCATCAGCGAACAACATACACCAAGGGATATCCCCTTTAATGTTCCTAGTAACCTCATCCATTACCAAGGCAAAGAGATACGGGCTTAAAGCTAACCCTTGATGAAGTCCAATTTTAATCGGGAAGTAATCCGTGTTACCATCGTTTGTTCGAACACTACTCACAACATTATTGTACATGTCCTTGATGAGGGTCACGTACTTTGATGGGACTTTATGTTTGTTCAAAGACCACCCCATAACATTTCTTAGAATCTTGTCATAAGCCTTCTCCAAGTCAATGAAAATCAATTGGAGGTTCTTCTTCTGCTCTCTAAACCGCTCCATAACCTGTCTTATTAAGAAGATTGCTTCTGTGGTTGACCTTCCGGGCATGAAACCAAATTGGTTTATTGATATCTGCGTCGTTCCTCGCAGGCGCTGCTCGATGACTCTCCCATAACTTTATAGTGTTGCTCATCAACTTAATTCTCCGATAATTAGTACAACTTTGGATATCTCCCTTGTTCTTGTAGATTGGTACCAATATGCTTCTTCTCTACTCCTCAGGTATCTTGTTCGATCGAAAGATATTGTTGAACATCTTGGTTAGCCATACTATAGCTATATCCCCGAGACATCTCCACATCTTGATACCATCGCTTTGTCCCCTTTCATCCTTTTCAAGGCTTTTCTGACCTCCGATTCTTGAATCCTCCGTACAAAGCGCCTGTTAGTGTCATCAAACGAGTCGTCCAGTTGAACGGTGGTGTTCTCGTTCTCACCATTGAACAATTTATCAAAATACTCTTGTCATCTATGTCTGATCTCATCCTCCTTCACCAAGAGCTGCTCCCTCTCATCCTTTATGCACTTGACTTGGTTGAAGTCCCTTTTCTTCCTATCGCGAGCCCTAGCCATCCTATAAATGTCCTTCTCTCCTTCCTTCGTACTCAAACATCGGTAAAGGTCCTCATAGGCCCGTCCCTTTGCCTCACTCACCGCTCGTTTTGCAGTCTTATTTGCCACCTTATACTTCTCTATGTTGTTTGCACACCTGTCATGATATAAGCGCTTATAGCACTCCTTTTCCTTAATAGCCTTTTGCACATCTTCATTACACCACCAAGTGTCTTTCGAGTCACATTCGCTCCCTTTGGTCACTTCAAGCACCTTTGAAGCAACCTTCCGAACGCATGTTGTCATCTTCTCCCACATGTTGTTTGCATCGCCTTCATCATTCAAGGGCCCTCTTCAATGATCTTTTCCTTAAAGACCTTGATGCCTCCCCTTCTAATTTCCACCACTTCGTTCTAGCAACTCTAGCTTATTTGTTCCCACGAGCTTGCACCAGAAAGCGGAAGTCCGCCACCACCAGCTTGTGTTGAGCGACCACACATTCTCCAGGTATCACCTTACAGTCCTCGCATGTTCGTTTATCCCTCCTTGTAAGGACAAAGTCGATTTGACTAGAGTACTAGCTGCTACTAAAGGTCACTAAATGGGACCGTCTCTTACGGAAGAAAGTGTTAGCTATCATCAGATCAAAATCTATGGCAAAGTCTAAGACTTCCTCTCCGTCCTGTTTCCTACTACTATATCCGAAACCCTCATGAACCGCCGCGAAACCTGCACTTGATGTACCTACATGGTCATTAAGATCACCTCCTATAAAGAGCTTCTTGCTACTAGGGACAACTCTAACCAAGCGATCTAAGCCTTCCTAGAAAAGCCGCTTAGCACTCTCATCATGGCCTACTTGGGGGCATACGCACTAATTACGTTTAAAACCATATCACTAATGACAAGTTTAACTAAGATGATCCTATCCCCTTGCCTTCTCACCTCCACCACACCATCCTTGAAGCTCTTATTAATCAAAACTCCTACTCCATTTTTATTTGAAGTTGTCCCTGTGTACCAGAGCTTGAAGCCGGTATTGTCCACCTCCTTTGCGTTCTGCCCCTTCCATTTAGTCTCTTGGACGCATAAGATATTTACACGTCTCCTAACCGCTGTGTCCACTAACTCTCTTAACTTACCTGTAAGGGACCCTACATTCCAGCTACCTAAATGGATCCTAGTTGGCTCAACTAGCTTCCTTACCCTTCGCACCCGCCGAGGTAAATGTGAAGACCCTTGCTCATTTTGCACCACACCCGGGCGCCGATGTGGGGCGCCACTAAGGATGCGACGACCCGATCCTTGCTCACTTGACACCGTGTCCAGATCGCGACACGGCGCGTCACGGGGGTGACGACCTGGCCCTTGCTCATTTAACACCATACCCGGGTTCCGACATGGCGCGTCGCTAAGAGGGTTATGCCCCAACGGGATTCTTTTGGGTTTCATCTCCATTAAAGTGGCTAAGTTTTTACATTGGCTCGTCGTGCCTAACACAACCCTCCTCCTTTACCCACCATAGGCGGAGTTGGAATGCAACCAACCATCATAGCTAAAATATATTTATTCCATTGGTGGTATTTCTGCCTATCATCTGCAATCGTTTGTTGTCTTTATAGATTTTCTAAAATATGATTTCATACTTGTGGAAGTTCTACGATCATATCGAAATTCTGGTTTGCCCTGTGAAATAAGGCAATTACAAACAGTGACTGAACCATGATAATAACCAAAATGTTCTGTTGATATTAAGACCTTATTGGATTTCATGCACTGGTGCTTCATTCCCTTGTATAGTGTTATCAATTGACACCTCCTAACCCATTCGTATTTGAAGTGGCAACCAGTATTCACAAAACTGGATTGTTGTTGCTCAATTGCCATCTCTAGCCATTCTGTTTCCTGTAACTACTTTTTTTATGCATTAGCCCTTGTAGTTTTCTTAAGTCCTTTGAACTGATTTTGCACATAGTGACTTGCCTTTTAGGTCACTGCACTCACTGGGACTTGTTAAGGTGTTCAGTTAAGCATACATGGACTGTTATATAATGAGTATTCCATTGAGGGTTCTATATATTTTTCCCTAATGCTTCCATGCAATTGGCTGTATTTTTCATCCATGATCACCCAGTGCGGTGATTTATCCAACATGATCAATAACCCAGTGTGGTGATTTATCCAATTGTCCTATACGTGAAATATGATAATGAAGGGGACAGCTAAGTTTGTTTCCTCTCTTCATTGGTCCTTGTTCTAGGTAGTCCGTGCTATGTTTGACAGATCTGATGCTTGAATAACATTGTGCCATTGGATGTGCTAATGGATGACAAATTGTTGACACTATACAGCCAAATGATCTATTAATTTGATGTCTTACATGGGAAAAGATGGATATGTAAAAGATCATTTGATGTTTTGTTTGTTTCCTTATTCCCGTATAACAAAGAGATTTCAAATGGTCACTTGTTCAACTAGTTATATCCATGTTTCCTACATGGATTGATGGATGTGGTACTTTATAATTATTCGTAGTTTATACTGTCGTTGTAGTGCTGTAGAAGTAGATTTGTGTCATTTAACATGTCTAGATTTAGAAAATGAAGATGCATAAACCTAGAAAACTACTCAAATGGCATTGAAAGAAAAGTTTTGTGGCGAGATACAATATAAGCAGTTTCGTTGAAGGCGATTAGACCTTTCATAACTGCTCTGAAAATTAAGCTTAAACTTGATCCCTATGTTTTACAACTTTGATCTTTGTAGTTACTAAAATTCATCAGAGCTGAGGGTACCGGCCTGATAATCTCAATGCAAATGATTCAACTTAAACTGCACGCAGGAAACTGAACTACAAAGTAAACTACTGCAGCTTTTACCTCATCCGCAATCCTTGCCTTCTTTATCACACCAAGACGATGTTTGAAGTTCCACTCCCATCCCTTAATCATATCGTGTCCACAATGTCTAATTCTTATTCTCAACAACTCTTTCTTTTCCTGCATATAACAAAAGAAATGAAGAATATCACTGACCCATTCCTTTGTGAATTATTATTTTCACACACCATATTGTTCCTTGTCTTCCACACAAGGCTCAGCAAACTACTGCTAAGCCAAATAGGATGAGTTCTTTTTTTTTCCTTGGAAACCCTTGAGGCCAGCTTTTGCAGATGAAACTTACCAGAGGATAAAACTGTCACACTCCAATTAATAGTATCTCTCTCTGGTAAGTTTTATCCAAAAAAAAAGAGAGCATTTGTTAGCACCCACTAGCACAACTGTCAATATTTAGAGGTTGGCTAGACTTGTTTTACCTAGGAAAACTACTGTATTGGAATTTCAACTTTGAAAAGGCACTTTTGCATTTAAGATACACATTCACAAATTAAGAATATCCCCATGAGTTAGGACTGTGTACATAGACCTTGCAATCTACAGTGTCACTCAGCATGTTGCTCAAAGTTCCTTGTGTTGCTATAATATTGAACATTACTGTAGTGGCAACACAAATTCTTTCTTAAAACTGGAATATATTTAGTTCAGCAAGGGCTTGGTTTGTATACATGATTGTCCTTTTGTGGGCTCTCTGCTCACACCTTTGGATACAACTTTATTGATATATATGTATAGTTATACTTTTGCTGCGGTAGGTTGTGATGCTATGTAAGTTCTGTTGTCTTTTTACAATGATTGGGCATCACACCGTTTAGTAACAATGTTGAGTCTATTTGCGTGTTGTAAATTCCTTGTTTCTCCATAACCACTATTAGTTTCAGGAAGTCAAAGATATGTTAGGTTGGGAGCTGCGATATTATTGTACTCTAGGTTCCTTGTTTTGTACTCTGTTTACCAACCCATTTGTTTCAGTGCCCTTTCTTGATTTCTTTTTTATTCTAATTTGGTCTTGCGAGTTGAGATATTGTTGTTCTTCAGATCCCTTGTTTTGTGCACTCCTCTCTGTTTACCAACTCATTTGTTTTAGTGCTCTTTCTTTGCTTTCCTTTTGATTCTCATTTGGTCTTGTTACTTAACTCCAAATGTTGCGATCTCACCTCTGTTAACTGTCATTGTTTCTTTGAGTTGCAACGATATTTTGTGTATTGTCATGATCAAGGAAAGATGGCAAACTGGTGTTTTACTAGGTACTATACTATTGCACTACCAATGATAGAGCTAATTCTTACGCAAATGAGCTACCAAAACCAAACATGAGTAGTGAGATGTTTATTTGTCGAGTCCTATAAACGAGGAACTTCCTATTAATTCTGTCCATTTTTTCCCAAAAATCTAACCACTTTAATTCTTCTGTCGTTATGTTTTAGCAAGTTAAAAATACAAGATGTCGATATTCTGCTATTTTCACCTGGGGAGAAGTCAAATGATCTAGAAGCATTAGTTTTGGTAACAAGTGTTACAAAATATCAGACAGAGCATCAGAAGTCAAATGATCTAGAAGCATTTGTTTCTTGTGGATTGCTATGATCTTATTATGGCACAATGTGATTTGTGAATCGTTATGTGATGATCAAGTAAGGGTGACATATTGCATCAGCCAATAATAGAGCTCACTTTTGTACGCAACTGGGCTACCAAACATGGACACTATTGAGTTTATCCGATGTTTTTTTTTTTTGGTTAACAAAGAGTCTTGTACTTGTACAGTCTAGCGTCTAGGCCCATCTGGTATAGTGCTACTCCAGAGTCCCGATACTTTGCAAGATTTCGACATGCACATGCCAGGCCAGGTGCCAAATGATGTCTCATGAGCAGAGTTCCTCTTCTCCAAACTGAGAGGAAAGGACCCCTGATCCTATCACTTACTATCCTTTCCAAACTTGTGGTCTCTTGACCAATTGATTGAATTGATGAACTCTCTTATCTGCAAAATGGAAGATCCAAGACCTGGATCAAAGTGGAAAATGAACGAACATTAACCATTTTTATTCACTCACTATAGTTCACAAGAACGAACATTAGTTACGTTACAAGCCTTAGGGTACGGATATCAGCCAGCGAACAAGCACTAGTTTGTTTACACGGCAGGGGCAGGGGCAGGGCAGTATGAACATTGCTTTTGTGTTCATGTGTACGTGGCATCTCCCTCTCACGCACGGATGGCGATTCCTCCCTGCTGCAGCTCGGCGGCGGCGGGGACCGCCTCCTTGTCGTCGGCCTCCGTCGTCTGCTCTCCGAGCGCCGGCAGGTGGCCCTTCTCCTGAAGGTTCTTCACCGTGTCGTAAAGCGACTGGCTCACCGGCCTGAACTCCAGCCCCAGGTCCCGGAGCTTCTGGTTCGATAACTTGTACGGCTGCTTCCGCGGGTTCACCTCGTCGGAGCACCTGCACCAAACGCTCACACGGTCAGTCAGCTAACCAAAGCAGGTTTCTTCAGTCATGGTCATCACAGGACCAAGCCAGCAACTACAGGTCAAGGTCATCCTACAAAAGCACAGGTCAAGAACATTGCGTTATAATTAATTTTGATTTTCTTAGTTGTAGTGTCAATTCCAGTGTAAACACATGGTTGTCCTGTGTGGCAGGTGAGATTCTTCCGCTTGGGCCCTACCCAAAGCATTGCGACAATATGCTGATGCAGTGACAGTGATGGAAGGATGCAGGATGCTACGGTTAGGTTTCATTGGTAAGGTGAGATTACGACAGCAAAGCAAATGGTCGACGACGGCGAGGTATATTTGAAACAATCATCATATATATGAAATTGTCATGGTAAGCTGTCTTAGACGAATCGACCCAGTTCAGTCCGCCGCTGTTGCAACGAGATTACCCGCCAAAACAGAGAGTTGAATATTCCAGCGCGTTAGAGCGAGGTTGGTAGATCATTAGTAGTCAGCTGTTGAATAATACTCCAACCATTTGTAGTCGCATCCTACAATGGCTCTCTCTCTCTCCAGTGTCAACAGCTAGCTAGCTTCCGTGTTCTTTGAATGAGACTAACCTCTCTCTGTCCATGTTTTGTTTGAAAATACTGGAGGGTGGAGTGTAAATATTCTACATGTTGGTGTAATAGTTGCTTGGGTCTCTCAATCATCTAGAAGTGATGATGTAGTTGGAAAAAAATGCATGATTTTACTAGCTAGAGTGACAGTCATACTTTGCTTTCTTGTGTGGTAATGATAATGGCTAGGACGACTCGGTAATTTTAGCTACAAGTTACATACGTGAGTACTTTCAGTGTACCTTGTAATAGTTGTTTCTTTTTAAAAAAAAAACAACCAACATGAGCCTGTTCTGCTGGTAATAAAACCGGTTGATAAGTAAATTTGAAACTGATTTATTGTGAAAAAAAAATATTATAGATTCTAGCTGATAAGTCGGCTACGAGCGAACAGGCCATACTAGGATCCATAAGTGCTCGTGCAGTTAAGTATGCGATGACTAGGATGACGGGAAAGATGACCTACTCCAGAGGTCACTGCTCAAGAAATTGCTATGAATTGATTTAGGACCTGCAAGATGACCTACTGCAGAGGTCACCCCTCAAGAAACTGCTTCCAATTAGCTATATATTTTCCATGCTCTTATTGCTGTCTTTTACATAATGGTCTATGTCTCCGTAACTTTGAGCAATTTCTGTCCTACTGCTAGATAAAAGCCAAACTCTGTTTCACATGACACATATATGCAGGCCTGCAATGGAACCAAGCAGCCAGGAAACAAGGCTGGCAGAGGCAGGGTTGGAGCAGAATGCAGACGCGAGCAAATGCATCTGTTCCGGGATTCTACTTAGTTCCCTCCCTAAAGTTTACCGTCTATCACATAAGATGGTTAGACACATGCACGAAGTATTAAATATAGACTAAAAATAACTAATTGCACAGATTACGACTAATTTGAGACATGAATGTTTTAAACCTAATTAGTCCATGATTTGACAATGTGGTGCTACAGTAAACATGTGCTAATGATGGATTAATTAGGCTTAATAAATTCGTCTCGCGGATTACTGAGGACTTCTATAATTTATTTTATTATTACTATTCGAACACTCATAATACCCCGATATGATACTCGATGTGACATTTCTAAACTTTACTCTCTGAATTTAAACACCACCTTAATGCCCAATGTAAGTCACGCACGGTGATGGTGATATATACCAGCAACGGCCGTACCCGCCAACGGCCAAAGCGAACACGGATCAGACAGGGTAATGGCCGTGAGAGCTACGAGTAGCTTGCGAAGTCCGACCACACGCTACTTTTCCCGCTCTGACGCTACAGATCTCTACCTCTCGGACAGCTACCCTTCAAAGTGCTCACGTACGCGTTGTCCACTGGCAGAACATAGCAAAGCTGCAAAGGTAGACTCTCTCTCTCTCTCTCTCTCTCTCTCTCTCTCTCTCTCTCTCTCTCTCTCTCTCTCTCTCTCTATATATATATATATATATATATATATATATATATACGACCTCACCTACTTCCGTCGACGGCGACGTGCACGGCGAACGTATCAGGTACTTACGCGTCGCGCGCCGGCAGTCCATGGACATAGCTAGATGGAGTCCTCAAGTTCTCGAGCCAGCCGGCCTTTTTTCGGTGGCGAATACATATAATGACTCCTCCTCCCCTCGATCTCTAGAAGGTGAGGAACACAGTTTTTCTCCCCTTAAGGACACGTGCGTGGATTTGCACTGGGATATAGATCGCTTCGTGTGATAGTAATTCGCCCTCGTATCGTAGGAGCGAATTTAAACAGGTCTACTTTGTGCATACGAGTTGATAGCTCATGGCATGTTGTTAAAAAAATACGCTCGTGGGCAAAAGTTGGAGTTCAGTGATTCTCTCGGCCAGCATGATTAAGATCTTCTACCTTAATTAGAATGCCCAGGGAAAGGTTATATTATACCCTCGGCTGGCCGAGTTTCTTTTTAAAAAAATTCTTGACCACCACCGTGAGCTAGCTCGATCTATTATATTACGACTTGCATTATTAGCATGCAAAATTGGAGGCGTGTGATGTACTAGCTGCGTCTAGGTAGCTTGTACAGTACGCTCAAGTCAGCGTGCGTCAGGATACAAGGGAGTTGGTTCACCTGAACCCATACGCACGCCCTTCATCAGATGATGATCATCACTCTGCTTTTGCTTACGTGTGCACCGATCGAGCTAATGATAGGAGCAGTGTATGTGTCAGTGTCCGGCCGGTCCTATCCATCGTTACCTACCACGCTGGGATCCATCATCACTGGCTTATTGCTTGCGTTACCTACACAGTGCCCCTTAACTAAGCATATATAGCTAGGTCCAAGTAGACCAAGCGATGATATCTATATATATGTGCTGTGTTGCAGCTGACACAGGCTTGGGATGGACGACATGCCAACCGCTAAGTACATCTAAACATAGTAATATTATGCACATTAATTAGCCACTAGTATGTGCGGCCGGAATTTATTAGACATGCCATTTAACAAAGAAAAAAATGTTGTTGGTAAGCACGGAGCGAGGTACGGACATTAGCTAGGTTAATTAGGTAGATAAGGAACGAAGCAGCAGCTAATGAATTTTCTAGAAAGACGGCAAGGGCTTTGCCGGATGATACGAGAGCAGCAGCTAATGAATAATGGTAATGATGATGATACCTGGTGGGGACGGGGTACTCCGGGAAGAGCTTGGCGAGGATGCGGACGACGTCCTCGCGGTGGAGGACGCGCTCGGCGCAGAGGTATCGGCCGGACGCGCGCGGGCTCTCGAAGACGCGGAGGTGCGCGTCGGCGACGTCGCGGACGTCCACGTACGCCTGCACGGCGTTGGCGAAGGTGCGCGCGGAGCCGTCCAGGTACTTGACCACGTGCGCGATGCTGGCGTTCACCGTCGGCTGCAGCAGCGGGCCCACCACCAGCACCGGGTTCACCACCACCAGGTCCACGCCGCGCTGCCGGGCCGCGTCCCACGCCTCCTGCTCCGCCACCGCCTTGCCGTAGCAGTACCAGTTCTGCATTATTATGCATCGTCGTGCATCCATCCATCATATCATGAGCGGATCAGATTATATTCTTCAGATCGATGCATGATGATCATCACAACACCTACACGTACTACATCATCGTAGCAGTGATGGGCATGCACTGCAGGTCGTTGCACGTACTACACTAGCAAGCTAGTGCGTGATCGATCGATGAGCAGGTGAACTGTCCAACAAGCTAGAACAATATTGGTGTGTCATGATGACGTAATTATTGCGTAAGGAGACAAAAAAAATTCCCTCCCCAGCAAGTAAATTGGTTGTTTTGGAGGGGGTTTGGGTAGTATTACCACTCAAAATCAACCAATCGGCTGCACACCTACACACTGGACCATTTTTTGCAAATTAAAAGCTAACCATCGATCGGTCGACCGCTTCTCTTAAAGCAAGGCAGCATATAGTATAGAATTTGTTAGCTCAACAAAGGCAAAGTTTCGTGGACAGAGTCATGGCGACAAAGCAGGCCGGCCCAGCACTAGCTTGTGGCGGCGATCGGGTCCATGCGTTCAGCAACCGGCGTCGTATTTTCTGGCCAGTTGGAATTTCCGTTTTCCAAGCATATGGCATGACCGTATGTAGACGTATATATACACCACACACATACAGACACAGGTTGAATAACATGCATGTACTATTTGTAGGTGCTGCTATATATGCTTTTGATCATCAATTCACCCGCTGCATTACCGAATAATTAATAAGAGTCGACAACTAAAAGAGCTAGCTAGGTTTGAATTTTCAGCTTTACCTTTGACAACAAAGAGTTTGTCATGCACGTGTTCAAGAAATAAACATGCAGCTATAAGATTCCCAAACATCTATACTAGCTAGCTAGCTAGCCCTTAACTTTTCGGTGCAACACTCCGTCCGTCAGCAGCAACCAAGAAAAAAGGTCGTCGCCTTCACAAGAAAAAAAGGGGGAAATTTGGTGTTTTAAAGACAAGGAAAAACAGTCTGTACTACTCTTGAATTCTAGTCTTGTCTTTTCTGAAAGTGAAACACAGAAGCAAGAACAGAGTCTGCAGTGCCAATGATAGGCACAAGCAGATAACATATCTATCGTAGCTAGCTCTGCATGCCATACATGTGTCTATGCTCTATCGGCGTGCGTGGCCTCATGCATGATTCACGTCGTCGCACGTTACATCCACACGCTTGCTCTGTTTTGTTCTTCGTTTTTTTTCTGAAACCAAATCCCTTTATATTCATTCTTTAATTGGGCTCCCTATAGCGAGTGCACGTCGATCACTAGAGAAAGTTCTGGTTCAAATCTAGTGCTGCTACTAGCTGTGTGTGCTTTTGACAGGCACCATGCATCAATGAGCTAGCACTTGATTCTGGTTCAAATCTAGTGCTGCTATTGGCTGCCTCAAAAGTCTAACTCTCTTTTAGGGTTCGGTAGGTGGTGCATGCCAATATAGAGGGTAATAATAATTCACCTATATATCTCATGATAGCTATCGTTAGTGTTTCTTTCACCCTAGCTTTTTTTATCTGTAGATCCAAACAAAACAAAAACAGAAACAAAATACTGATCGATATGGTGCAGCTAGCTAGCGAAAGGTCGCAGCATGCAGTGATGAGGTAGTAGTAGGCGGGATATTTAGATGATAGATGGAGACGACAAGGAAGGCAAGCAGACTCAAAAGTGACCAAGCACCCACCCTGGTTTTCTTGCAGAACTCGAGGTCGCTCCAGCACGACTCGTCGACCACGACGTCGGGCCCGCGGCTGGGGTCCATGGTCACCGCGCCGATGGAGGACGTGAACACCACCCGCCGCACCGTGCCGGCCTCCGCCGCCGCGTTGATCACGTACTCCGTGCCGCGCACCGCCGGCTCCACCATTTGCTCCTGCGCGCGACCGGCATGCATGCAGTAATTAGTTAATGCATATAGTACGTCGTCATGGCGGCATGCAGCAAGGGAGCAGTCGAATTTGCCGGCCGCCGTGCATGCGAGGCGAACTACTCACCGGGTCGTCGGTGACGGGGGAGGCGGTGTGGAAGACGCCCTGGCAGCCCTGCACGGCGCGGCAGATGGCGTCGTAGTCCAGGAGGTCGGCCTTGCAGAGGATCAGCCGCTCCGCGGCGCCGTCCAGCGCCTTGAGGTGCGCGTTCTTCGGGTCATCTGCCAGCATCATATCGCCATTAACACAAACGTTAATCGCCATAGACCACTCCTCAGCTCTACTACATATATATGCATATATAACAAAAGGCATGCCTGGGTTCCTGACGGTGCCCTTGACAGTGTATCCCTTCTCGAGAAGCAGCTTGACGAGCCACGAGGCGATGTACCCGGCCGCGCCGGTGACGCACACGGTCTGCCCGTTCCCCGCGGGCTGCTGCACCAGTGCCGCGGCGGCAGCTGGGGCACCGGCATCAGTGGAAACGGTGTCGACCACGGTCATCTTGGCCCGACGATGATGATAAGAGACCGACCAGCTGTTCCTCTTTAGCTCGCGGTGTGTCTCGTAGTAGTAGTAGTGGTGCCGAAGCAGAAAGGCAGAGGAAGTTGATCGAAGAGAGTTAGTTTTTAGGTTTTCCCTTTGTCTGTGTGGTCGAGTGATGATATGACCGAGTTGGTAGCTGGGGTTTGGTAGGATTCTCTCTTGCGATCGATAATCCTGAGAGCGCCGGGGTTGGAGTGGCGCGGAATTTATAGGCCAAGCCAAGTGAGGCGAGGCCGGCCGGTGAGACGGGTGGTGCTCGCGCGGGGCGAGAGAGTGATAAGTAGCTGAGACTGAGACGACAGCGAGAGATGGTGGACACGGGCAGTACCGTGCGCGCGCGGTGTGCAGTGGCCCGGCCCCTCTCGCCGCGATCGCGACCGCGGGTTAGGTGAGGCAACCCCACAACCGTTTTCCACGACGTATGTACATCACGCAAACGTAGCGTACGCGAGGGCGAGAGAGGCCAGCCAGGTCACACTGGGGTCTGGGGACCGGTCGGCCGGCCCATACGTACGCGTCTATACGGACGACGTAGGTGAAGAAACTGAAAGAAACAGCTCGCCTACGCCTGATGAGTGAATGGGTCATCACACTACTGGAAACTCGCATTCTTAGTGTGTGCGAAAACACATAGAAAAATATGAATACCGTCAGAAAAATATTTTTCTGACGGTGTACCCTCAGAAAAATATACACGAAAATATAATTACAGAAAAATTCAATTGTTCTGTGTGCTCGCCGTCAGAAACAATTTTTCTGTGGGTGTTACACGCATAGAAAAATTGTGTTCGGCCAGATTAAAAATAAAATTTATGTGCATTATTCCTCACAGAAAAAAGGAAAACCCGACAAAAAATTCATTTTTCTGTTAGTGTTGTCCCGTCAGAGTTGTGGAGGTGCACTCACAGGAAAAAATTATATTTTTCTGTCGGGTTAGGTGAACGTACAGAAAAATTATATTTTTCTGTCAGGTGTTAACAGACCACCGACAGAATAATATATACTTATCCATGCAGCAAATTGGATACAATAATTATTTGAAAACAGTAGCAACAACATATTAAAATATGGACTGTCCATACAGTAATTTCATCACAACATATAAAGATAGAGTCTAAATGTTCAGCACATTCATTCATAGCATCCAGACTACATGTAGATGATGTCCAAATGTTCCGGCATCAATACATTCAAAAGCATTACCATCTCATCTCAGCAGTTCATGAATTTTACTACTGATAACTATTGCACTACTATGCTGACAACCAGATCGACGTTGCTACCATTGAAAATGAGCAACTCTTAGCTCTTTCATCGCTGCTCCTATCGACCTGCAAATAAAGCACAGTAAGCAAGATAATATCAACTTGGCATACATCAGGTAGTAAGCACATATTTGTTCCAGGTAGTAACTTGACAGCTAACTTCTAGATGTCAAACTGCAAACCTTCCTAAATTCCTAAGGTAGAAAGCAAAAAATTGGACTCCTGACTACATAGACAAATACATAGAATGTTCCACAAAATCTTAAGAACGTTCACCTAATTACAAAATCGTTGCTCCTTACTGCATATGTAAAAAAAGGTACATATCAGACTGAAGGTTGACTAAGAATGAACGACAAGGACATCTAACATGTACCAAATAAACATGGTCACCCATAGTAATTAGGAAGGGGCGTTCTAACAGATTGAAGGCTGATATGAACTGTACAAATAGCATAGTTAAATCTGAAAAGAACCTGCATGTACCAGAGAAAGCAACAACAATTGGCAAATGAAAAACCTACCTGCATACGATGAATCACTGAACATGTATGGAAAACAAGCTTACATGGAATTGAAGCATCACAGCCAAATCTAATCACAGCCAAATCTGGAATTGAAGCATCACATCCAAATCACATCCAAACAGAATCACTGGACGTAGGAAGGCATAGATGTTAATTTTGTTTTCTACTGAAGTATAAGCGTCGGGCAGTCACAGAGCTGGCACAACGGAAAATTATGGATGTAAACATATACACGCAGCGAGCGGCACCGTTGAACGACAGAGGAAACCTAAGAAGACAAGAATAGAAATATATTGTAAATGTAAAACAAAAATCTGAAAGGTAATGCCGCAGCGCTACCAAGCCCAATCTAATTAGCAAAAGAGCAGATGCCAGCGGAGAAATGAGCTACAAACGACAAATTAAAATATGGAAACAAACTAATCAGCACCTAGTAGCACCCTCAAATGCCGCAAACAGAAAATCTAAGAAGAGAAGCACACCAATACACTGTAAATGGAAAAACAAAAAATATGAAATTAAGCTAATTAAGCAGCACCTACTAAACCCGATCTAATTAGCATAGAGCAGAGGCCTACGCCAGCGGACAAATGCGCTATAAATCACAAACAGAAAAATCTGAAAACAAATTAATTAGCACCTAGTAGCACGCTCCAACACTGGAAACAGGAAGCCTAATAAGACAAGCACACAAATATACTGTAAACGAAAAACAAAAATATGGAAGGTAACCAAGCAGCACCTACCAAACAAAGTGTAATTAGCAAAGAGCACAGGCAACAGTATGGCAGCGGACGAACGCGCTATAAATCACAAACTAAACCCTGGAAACCAACTAATTAGCACGTAGTAAACCAAAGTCAGTTAACAAAGAACAGAAGCCAATTTTGCAGACTCTGAAATAAAATACTAAGCATGGGAAATATCAATAAACTTGAAACATTCGCCTTCTTCCTTTTCTTTTGCGTGGCCTCTATAAGCAAAACGTTGTAAACCAATCCTATTAGCAGAAAACAAAGTTAATATTGCAAACAACCCTGGGAGATGCAACCTTAATGTAGGCCGTCGCCATCGGCACTCTCTATACACTACCGGAGGCGGCTTCTTTGCCGAGTGCCTCAGGCACTCGGCAAAGGCCGCTCGGTAAACAGTTTATCGACAAAGCCCTCTTTGCCGAGTGTACTTTATCGGGCACTCGGCAAAGGCTTTGCCGAGTGCTAATCTGACACTCGGCAAAGAAAAGTTGCCGTGACGGCGAGAGCCACCGTGACGGCGGCTTTGCCGAGTGTCAAGGTCAAGCACTCGGCAAAGGTCGCCGCTTTACCGAGCGTCGTTGACTCAGACACTCAGCAAAGGTAGCCTATTTGCCGAGTGTCCTGTCAAGACACTTGGCAAACAGGCGACCTTTGCTGAGTGCCTGGCCCGTGGCACTCGGTAAATCTATGATGTTTGCCGAGTGCAATGGCCTTTGCACTCGGCAAAGCATGTTCCCAAGTAGTCACTTTGCCGAGTGTCATGGCCATTGCACTCAGCAAAGTGACTAAAAACAACATTTTTATTTGTTTTTTACATCCCATCCAAACAAACAGAAGATATATATAACAAACATCACCAACATCACATATATATCATCAACAACACATATATATCACCAACACCACATATATATCACAAACGTCACATATATATCACAAACATCACATGTCTCACAATATATCACAAATAAGTTCACAAGTAATCCAAGTGCTCCATCATCTACAACCACAATTGCAAATAGAAGTACCATTAACAACCACAAGTATCATCACCAATATGGCCAATGAGACTGATTTGGTGAAGGATTCGCTGATGCATGAGGATCGTTCGATGCCGCCGATTGATTCTGCACAAAGAAGAAGAGATTGCATGTGTGAGACAAGATAAATATATACCATACATGAATAAAACTTTCATACTTCACTAGGTTTGACCGTAAGCATGAACATACAAACTAAAACATCGGCAGCAAGCCAGCATCATCCCAAGTTCAGAGATGTAATAGAAATATTACATAGTCAAAAACAATAACTTTGCATAGTGACTATATACTGCTCAGTGGCTAACTGTATTGATTTAGGAGGCTGATTACAGCTTCAGTTACTTTTGAACCCACTTTTCAAAAAATTTCAATAGATAAGCAAGTAGCTAGCTTTCTGATTACAGCTTCAGCCTATAAACTCTGAGAGGATCAAGATAATTATAGCACGTCATGTGATCCCAGGTCAATGTCTTCAATACTTACCACACAGTAAGCTCACCTCTACTCTATATTTGAAAAAAGAAAAATATGAACCCAATAATCATCTTTGATGTATTAGCAGCTAGCAGTAAGCTCACCTCTTCTCTAAATTGGTAATGATTAGACAATACTAAGTAAATCAAACTACCGTGTCAATACAATAAAAAGTAACAGCACAAGTACATAAGCTAGGGATTTTTAAAACTATTTACCTTGTTGTACATTGAGGGTGTTATATTAGCAGCTAGCAGTCAGCTGCTACCTGTACACATCAAACAGCATGTTATGAAACTGCAGGAAGAGTAGTCACAATAGCTCTAATATTGTAAAAGGAACTAAAATGTGATTATTCAAAATCAAGCTACAATGCTCACACAATCTTCTAGTTTTTTCTCAAATAGTTTTACTAATTTCAATTAACAGGCAAGTTCAATCAACCAATAGATGTGCAGCAATAGCACAAATGATCTAGGCACATATGCCCCTGTGAACCATGGAGGTCACATTCTTGCCTAAGTACAAGTACTGTCCATGAGTCATGTCCCTCGTTGCATTGCAAATTAGTTATATACAAGCATGAAGTTTTTAAATAACTACTCAGGTCTTTCTGAATTGAAGTACTTTGGAAGACAAACATGTTTTCACTTTAGTTCTGTATTTGTTTTATCAGGTTCACAAATGCATCAGGTTTCAGGCTCAGTCACCCATGCATCAAGATAGCATCAGGGTTGATAGGTTCACACATACACATACAACAATGGCCAACATAAGAGTATGTACAATGGGTGTGCTTATAAGAGATTATTAGTTCACATAAGCACATTAGTCTGCACCATGTGGATGCACTACGAAAGCTTAAATAAGGGAACTGAGAGGTGCACTTTACTT